GTCTCAGGATTGGTATCGTTTGTGCCAATAAGTCTTGGATGGCATCGACCGACCAGTGATACCAATTTGGATAAAAACTACACAATAATCACTGATATGTTAGAGGAGAGAGAGAGAGAGAATAAAACAATTTTTACGAATGCTTTTCATAACATCAATACTCACAGCAACTGATATCAAAAGCGATCCATATTTCGCATAGTTGTGGTCCAAACATCCAGTACTCCATCAGATCGTTGGCCACAGCAAATGTCATGACCAAAGAGCCCACAAAAAGGTCGGCCAATGCTTTGACACATAAGATTGAGAGGAATGGAGAGATAAAAATGTTATCGAAATACAAAATTTTTGATATATAATTGCTATGTCTATTGAAACGGAAATATTTCTCGACGGAAAAAACATTATTGAATTTGAAATGAAGAGTAAATGTAAGCGAAATGTATAGAAACCTAGAGATGCGAGGAATAGATTTCCAAGTCTTCGCAGACGTCTGTCACTAGAAATGGCTAAACAGACGAGAATATTGCCTAATATTGATATCAAGATCATAAGACCCAACACAAGTCCGACAACTATTTTAATATAAGTGCTCAAAGGATTGGAAGAATCCATGTCTTCGGACGGTTCCGACACTTTATTCCAATCGTATTTGAAATCGTCGGATGTCTCGGATGGATGTGATATGGATTTTGTGGTCAAACCAATCATTGTGTCTATCGTTTCCATTATTAATATTCAAAATGTAAACTTCTTTTTAGCCTAAAAGCAACAAAATATAACAAAAAACAATTATTATATCATTTTGTCATAAATTTCTCGTTATATTTCTTATTAGTTTTTGATAAAGAATTAAGCAATAGATTGACAAAAACCAGAATAGAGACTAAAATTAATAATTTATATCATAAATAACTAATAATATATTAAATAGTATTCGAGTCACGAATAACTTTATTTCTATTAAATTGACATAAAAATACAATTATTTGATTATAATTTATAAATGTTATGATTTTTTGCACATTAATTATTCAACAAAATCAAACGCGAGATTAAACCAATACAGATATATGCAGGCATTTAAATGCCTCAACAGTGCGATCACCTTAAGGGCACAAATTTGTGGTTCAAATTCATTAACAAACCTAAAATACAAATTGCATTCAAACGCATAGATTATCTAATTAATAGAAAAAATGCAATTTTCTCGACAATTGCCGCAAACATATCACACATAATAGGATTTGGAATTAAGTTTTCAATTCTTCATTTATAATATTAGTCTTTAATATAAAAGTGAAACAAAAAACAATAAAAATAAAATACTAGCCCTTTAGAGATGGAAAGTTTGGTTTGATTCCAGGATCTCATTAATAGTTTGCTTTTTGTTCAAAAACTTGTAAACTAATGAATAATATTTTATTTAAATAAAAATTCTTTACCAAATTCTCATAAAAATGTTGTCAGGATTTCAATTCAAATAAATTATGTTTTTCATCATTGAATAGCGAAGAAGTTTAAAAATATAAGAGAGTATTAAATGCGAGAAACGCTTTCGCAAAAGACTTTAAACAAATTGGGATTTGAATGGAAGAGTACTTTTTGGATAAAATAAAATACTCTGTTTTGTATCATTCAAAACATGTAAATTGAGTTTTTAAATACAAAAATATAATTAATTATATTTGCAAAACATGACTACTTTTGTACTTTCAAATCCTGAAACTCAATGCACTATAATTACTCTCATTGCTGGGAAAACTACTTAATTTCACTTACTTTTTCAGACAAGTGTTTCAATATTTTAAGTGCAAATAACAATGTTATACAGTATTTAATTGCCATTATATGTGAAATAACTCTTATTTATAACTAGAGTCTCTATTTTTCGGGAGTAAAAACACCCAAATTCGGGCGGGATTCGGGAACATAAAACAGTCAAATTCGGGAAAAATCGGGAGTTAAAATTTATTTTATTTTGACATTAAAACAATAATATAATAAACCAATTAAAGTGTATTTTAGTTGAGACGCTAATTAATGAAGACATTAACCCAAACAANTTATATTTGATAATAACATGAAATTTGAGATTCTCTTCTGTAAATTTATGCCTTCTATCTGTAATAATATTCTTAAATTGAGAAAAAGAACGCTCGCATTCGACGGAGATAAATATAATTTTAAAATAGCATGAAATGGATTGTAACATATTTTGAGTTTAACTTTCATAATATAACTTTCACTATATTATAGTCCCTTTATCACACATCATTTGAACTTTATAACAGTTTTTGGCATTTATTTAACATTTCATTAAAATATTTGAAGAAAAAGCGATGATTATAGGGGTTTTCGTGGCAAAAGTGCATTTTCGGGACTAATTTTCTCATAATCGGGAGTATTCGGGACTTTTCGGGATTTTCTCAAAATATGCAAAAATCGGGAAAAATCGGGAATATAAAAACTATATACATTGGTCCTATTTTAGCCCATCTGCCTAACGGTATGTAATTCCCGATGTTTTTATACACTAAATTTATTCGGGAGTTCCCGAAAAATAGAGACTCTATTTATAACATTGTTTTATTTTTTTATGTTTCTGCTAACTATTAAATGCTTGTTGAGGTTTATGAAATTTATATAACATCTTATATTTTGTTATATATATATTATATTGATATAAAGCCAATACATTCTGTATATTATGTATTGAATTAATACTATAAATATAATAACTCAAAAGCCAAGCCTCCGATTCTTAATAACTGAATGGTTTGTTATATTGAAGGAAAAGCATTATATAAATTATAGTTGAAGGCAGACATCAGAGCTCATTGCCATCAAATACAATCCAAGTGCTATCATATTTGATACAATATATTGGGTTAGAGTTCAACAAACAGATTATAGGAGTATTAAAGAATTAATATATCATGTGTAATGTTGTAATAAATAATATAAATACTATTTTCTCAAAAATATACTATTAATATAAATTTAATTAAATTATAATTAATTAGTGATAGTAATATTCCAGGCAATCCTTTACCACTTAAATACACATTAATCTCAATATAAAGTTCTGGTTATTATTCAAAAGAGTACATAGTTTTAGTGTTTTTTGTTTTTATAATATTAAATAATAGCTTAAAATAAAAATTTTCGTCACTTTTTTCTATTACCAAATCTTATACTTTATATTTATCTCACGTCAAGAAAATGCTTTTAAGGGTTTGATGTTTAAGTAACAGCTATTCGTGAATTTATTTCAAATTTTTGAAGTTATTTGTATATAAATCAACAAAAAAACATTGTATGTGTTTTTATCATAAATAAGTGAAGAGTTCTCTCAAACAATTATCAAATATTTCATTTATAAATAAATTTTATGCAAAAACTTATAACTTTTAAATTAAAAAGTTTTTAGGCAAATGTTTTGAATCAAAGTTAAATATTTAAATATGTTACTTCTTATCAGACCAAAACTTTTGATAAATTAATAGATTTTTTTTATAAATAATAAAACTTAAGATTTGTTTTGATATTTTGTTGACATTTTATTTAATGTGCATTTTATTAGTTTTATGACCTCTTCTGTTGAACACAATTTTAAGACCTTTATTTATTTCTATTCTAGATTTCTGTCATTCATATTCTCAATAATATTTAAAAACAAATTATATTATAAAGAATATTAGAAATAAGTAAAATTCATGCCCTATTTTGTATAATTTAAATTAACCATGGTAAAAATAAGTTCAGAAATATAAGTCAAAATTTTATTAGCAAAACAAATTACATTTTGGCAAAATTTAATACGAAACAAAAGAGTTAACAATATTTCTATTAATAGAAAATGCAATTTCATTCAACAAATCAATGAAATACTATTTGGTTTTTAAGTAAATATTAATCGAAGTATAAAATGAAAACTATTTTCAAATAAATTGCTATTAAAATAACGAAACAACAAAATGATTACTTCTTTACAGAAAAGTGAACACAATTTTCATTAAAGTTCGGGAATTGTTTCAAAGTTGCAAAAAACACTAAAACTATGTACTCTTTTGAATAATAACCAGAACTTTATATTGAGATTAATGTGTATTTAAGTGGTAAAGGATTGCCTGAACTGATGGACGCTATAGTAAAGCAATCGGGTATTAAACAGATGAAGACATTTCACGAGAATGACCTTCATTTTGGTAAAGGTATTGTCGGCGGCTGGAGGTCATGGCTCACGAGAGAGAGAGAGAGAGAGAGAGAGACGGTATATATTGTTTAAATCAAATATTTGATTTGTCGGTGGATATAAAAGTTAATTAAAACACATTTAAATTGGGATTAAATGAATATATTTTGAGTAAAAAAAGAAATAAAAACATTCATTTAAATAATAACAATATATAATTATCACTTTAAATTGTGAGCACTTTATATACCAGTATATAAAAAGTAAACGAATAAATGCATTGAAAGGCATTGAAAATCTGTTAATGATTTTATCAGAATTTTAGTAAAATTGAATTTTACGATACGTTTTGAAAAGCCCTTCAAATCAATTTAAATCAATAAAAACGACAATTTTATGATAAAATTTTAACGTTTTGATAGCCATTTGCGTCAATTTTGTAAATATAAAATATAAATTTTTAAAATTTTTAACAAATTCCCGATGAGAGACATAATATGTGAGGATTTCTAGATTTCACTAAAGTTTTAAACATTATTTAATATTAAAGGTTTCAATCATTTTTGTAAAATATAGTAGAGAAACGATGAGATCAATTGTGTAGAGAGTGTATTAATTGTTGTAAGTTTTGTCGTAAAATTTGAATGAGAAAAACTAATTATATTTTTATTTCTGTCTTAAATTAATTCACTAATTCTTTTGCGTACTATTTGTCCCTTAAATTAAGACAAATTTACGTACAATTAATCGGTCGTTGATTTTTGTTTAAACAATAATATAATAAACCAATTAAAGTGTATTTTAGTTGAGACGCTAATTAATGAAGACATTAACCCAAACAATCACTAATGTATAGTAAAAACACAAAATAGTTTTTTGTTTTATTTAAATATAAAAAAGAAATTTAAAACATGTAATTTATATTCATTTGATTGTCTGTAATAAATTCTGTTTTGCAAATAATAAACGATATCATTGTCTAACCATAGCATTAATAATACTCATAGCGTTTAGTATTACCCATTGAAACATTATTATCCAAATGCTATAATCTATGATAGAATAGCTATAGACTTGACATTGGTTTGCATGTTATTTCCCATGAGATCAAAACAAAACTTTGCTTTTTTACGCAATACTATTGACTAGTATTTGTTTTCACCATAATTTAGTTAGGGTTTGTTGTGATGATTAGTGAGCTTTTTGACCATTTCTTAATCTAATGATGACTACATTATTCATAGCCAGACTCGTAGTCTAAGATCATCACTCAAATTAGATCCACACAAATGGTGAGTCTTGTTATAGAGTGTATGAGTGAGTGAGTGAGTGAGTGAGAGAGAGAGAGAGAGAGAGAGAGAGAGAGAGAGAGAGAGAACTGATTGACAAATCCATTACACGAGTGATGAATATTTTTTGTTGCTTATTTACAAACCATGTCTTCCAATAGTAATAGTGATAAAGCGATTCAATTATATGTTATACGAGAGACAAACGCCTCCTCAACACAATT